ACAACACCCCAGAGTGGAGCCAGAAAAATGCCGTGCTACGAAGACACCAAAATGTGTTTAAAGAAGGATTGGGGGAATGTACGAAGGCCAAAGCAGTGCTAACTCTTAAACCTGCAGCTACTCCCGTTTTTCGACCTAAAAGACCTGTACCCTATGCTGCTCTTCCAATAGTTGAACGAGAATTACAACGACTTCAGCAAGTGGGTATTATCGAGCCTACGATTAACCAGGATACCGAAACCAGTATCAAGCTGCAAGTAGACCCGGAGAAGAGGTTTTCTTTTTCGAAAGGGTGGAGGTGTTGGGGTGATACAGAAATCGCTCGCAAAAGACAAGCAAGCATCAAGAAACACTAAGAAGTGTTTCGTCCAATCAGCGTTCATTTGGAGTTTTGACCAAAAATATCAAGGTAGCTAAACGTCACGTGCGGAAGCTCTGATTGGCTGGCTACTACACTGCTACTATGTTTAGTAGCGTTCCAGAATATTCCAGCGACACAAGGACATTTAGATATATTATAAAAACCCTATATTTTCTGTAATAAAATGAACCTTGGGATAAAGTATTTTCTCTCATACTTGTGTCTTCTCTCTGGTGTTCAAGTCGCTGTGTAGTTCTAGACTGCAGGTTACCGGAATAGCTTAGGAAACTAATATAGCGTTCAATCCACACGACTTATCAGTGGCGACGGGGATGAAAACTACAGTGAATATTTCCTTGGAGCAATTAGAAGCCTATATGGTGCGTCAAGAAAAGAGGTTTGAAGGGTCGCAAATTAGAATCATGGAAACCCTGGTGCAGAAATTCTGCCTGTCCGAGAGAAACCCTGCTTCTAGTGAATCACAAGTATCACATATTGATTCAGTCATTAACGCCATCCATGAATTTAGTTTTGATGGTGTAGCAGGTGTAACTTTCGAGTCGTGGTTTAAGAAGTATGAAGACTTGTTTTACATTGATCTTTGCAAACTGGATGATGCTTCAAAAATCAGAATACTTCTTAGAAAACTTGGGACTATGGAACATGAACGCTATAGCGACTTCATTCTTCCGACGAATCCACGAGATTTTAGTTTTGATGATACAGTCAAAACCCTGTCCCAAATCTTCGGAGAACAATCATCTCCATTTAATATCCGTTACCAGTGCTTCAAGTTAACGAAAGAACCAGGAGATGACTGGGTGAAGCATGCAGGAACTGTGAACCGAGAATGTGAAAGGTTCAGATTGTCGTCCATGTCTGAAGATCAGTTTAAATGCTTAGTATTTATCTGCAGCCTGCGTCCACCCGAGGATGCCGATATCCGAACCAGAATCCTAAGCAAACTCGAACACTGCCCTAACATGACCCTGCAGGAAGTGACTACCGAGTGCCAAAGGTTAGTAAAATTGAAGCATGATACCTCAATGGTAGAAAACGGTAACTGTTTCCATAACGTCAATGCAGTCAAGAGGAAAGTCTTTTAAGGTTCCTTTACCCATAATTTTCGAAATAACAGCGACAAACCATCATCTCCATGCTGAGCATGTAGAGGTTGGCACTATAAGAGGTTTTGCCCATATGAAGAACATCGCTGCAGCAAATGTCATCGGAAGGGGCATAAAGAACACATAAACGACATTCTTTGAAGCCCTACTCGAAGAAATACAGATATGGTGCTCCAACCAACAAGATATTGGTATCACATAACAGAGCACGAAGTTGCCACCAAAGAAAGTATGTGACCTTGAATATTATTAAACACCGTACCCGCCTCCAGCTTGATACAGCTTCTGATATTACTCTAATCAGCCCAGAAACATGGAAGAACATTGGAAGACTCACAGTTTTCTCAACAACACAGCTGGCACACAGTGCATCTGGGGAAGTTAAATATTGTTAGAGAACTGCCATGCACTGTTTCTAAAGGTACTGTAACAACAAATGCAACAGTATATCTTACAAAGAAGCCAGCACTCGACTTAATTGGGTTAGATCTTATAGAAACACTTAAATTAACAGACCATTCCATTAACAGTATCTGCAGACGAATCAGAACAGACAACACCCCAGAGTGGAGCCAGAAAAATGCCATGCTACGAAGACACCAAAATGTGTTTAAAGAAGGATTGGGGGAATGTACGAAGGCCAAAGCAGTGCTAACTCTAAAACCTGCAGCTACTCCCGTTTTTCGACCTAAAAGACCTGTACCCTATGCTGCTCTTCCAATGGTTGAACGAGAATTACAACGACTTCAGCAAGTGGGTATTATCGAGCCTACGATGAACCAGGATACCGAAACCAGTATCAAGCTGCAAGTTGATCCGGAGAAGAGGTTTTCTTTTTCGAAAGGGTGGAGGTGTTGGGGTGATACAGAAGTCGCTCGCAAAAGACAAGCAAGCATCAAGAAACACTAAGAAGTGTTTCGTCCAATCAGCGTTCATTTGGAGTTTTGACCAAAAATATCAAGGTAGCTAAACGTCACGTGCGGAAGCTCTGATTGGCTGGCTACTACACTGCTACTATGTTTAGTAGCGTTCCAGAATATTCCAGCGACACAGGGACATTTAGATATATTATAAAAACCCTATATTTTCTGTAATAAAATGAACCTTGGGATAAAGTATTTTCTCTCATACTTGTGTCTTCTCTCTGGTGTTCAAGTCGCTGTGTAGTTCTAGACTGCAGGTTACCGGAATAGCTTAGGAAACTAATATAGCGTTCAATCCACACGACTTATCAGTGGCGACGGGGATGAAAACTACAGTGAATATTTCCTTGGAGCAATTAGAAGCCTATATGGTGCGTCAAGAAAAGAGGTTTGAAGGGTTGCAAATTAGAATCATGGAAACCCTGATGCAGAAATTCTGCCTGTCCGAGAGAAACCCTGCTTCTAGTGAATCACAAGTATCACATATTGATTCAGTCATTAACGCCATCCATGAATTTAGTTTTGATGGTGTAGTAGGTGTAACTTTCGAGTCGTGGTTTAAGAAGTATGAAGACTTGTTTTACATTGATCTTTGCAAACTGGATGATGCTTCAAAAATCAGAATACTTCTTAGAAAACTTGGGACTATGGAACATGAACGCTATAGCGACTTCATTCTTCCGACGAATCTACGAGATTTTAGTTTTGATGATACAGTCAAAACCCTGTCCCAAATCTTCAGAGAACAATCATCTCCATTTAATATCCGTTACCAGTGCTTCAAGTTAACGAAAGAACCAGGAGATGACTGGGTGAAGCATGCAGGAACTGTGAACCGAGAAAGTGAATGGTTCAGATTGTCGTCCATGTCTGAAGATCAGTTTAAATGCTTAGTATTTATCTGCAGCCTGCGTCCACCCGAGGATGCCGATATCCGAACCAGAATCCTAAGCGAACTCGAACACTGCCCTAACATGACCCTGCAGGAAGTGACTACCGAGTGCCAAAGGTTAGTAAAATTGAAGCATGATACCTCAATGGTAGAAAACGGTAACTGTTTCCATAACGTCAATGCAGTCAAGAGGAAAGTCTTTTAAGGTTCCTTTACCCATAATTTTCGAAATAACAGCGACAAACCATCATCTCCATGCTGAGCATGTAGAGGTTGGCACTATAAGAGGTTTTGCCCATATGAAGAAAATCGTTGCAGCAAATGTTATCGGAAGGGGCATAAAGAACACATAAACGACATTCTTTGAAGCCCTACTCGAAGAAATACAGATATGGTGCTCCAACCAACAAGATATTGGTATCACATAACAGAGCACGAAGTTGCCACCAAAGAAAGTATGTGACCTTGAATATTATTAAACACCGTACCCGCCTCCAGCTTGATACAGCTTCTGATAATACTCTAATCAGCCCAGAAACATGGAAGAACATTGGAAGACTCACAGTTTTCTCAACAACACAGCTGGCACACAGTGCATCTGGGGAAGTTAAATATTGTCAGAGAACTGCCATGCACTGTTTCTAAAGGTACTGTAACAACAAATGCAACAGTATATCTTACAAAGAAGCCAGCACTCGACTTAATGGGGTTAGATCTTATAGAAACACTTAAATTAACAGACCATTCCATTAACAGTATCTGCAGACGAATCAGAACAGACAACACCCCAGAGTGGAGCCAGAAAAATGCCGTGCTACGAAGACACCAAAATGTGTTTAAAGAAGGATTGGGGGAATGTACGAAGGCCAAAGCAGTGCTAACTCTTAAACCTGCAGCTACTCCCGTTTTTCGACCTAAAAGACCTGTACCCTATGCTGCTCTTCCAATAGTTGAACGAGAATTACAACGACTTCAGCAAGTGGGTATTATCGAGCCTACGATTAACCAGGATACCGAAACCAGTATCAAGCTGCAAGTAGACCCGGAGAAGAGGTTTTCTTTTTCGAAAGGGTGGAGGTGTTGGGGTGATACAGAAATCGCTCGCAAAAGACAAGCAAGCATCAAGAAACACTAAGAAGTGTTTCGTCCAATCAGCGTTCATTTGGAGTTTTGACCAAAAATATCAAGGTAGCTAAACGTGACGTGCGGAAGCTCTGATTGGCTGGCTACTACACTGCTACTATGTTTAGTAGCGTTCCAGAATATTCCAGCGACACAAGGACATTTAGATATATTATAAAAACCCTATATTTTCTGTAATAAAATGAACCTTGGGATAAAGTATTTTCTCTCATACTTGTGTCTTCTCTCTGGTGTTCAGGTCGCTGTGTAGTTCTAGACTGCAGGTTACCGGAATAGCTTAGGAAAATAATATAGCGTTCAATCCACACGACTTATCAGTGGCGACGGGGATGAAAACTACAGTGAATATTTCCTTGGAGCAATTAGAAGCCTATATGGTGCGTCAAGAAAAGAGGTTTGAAGGGTTGCAAATTAGAATCATGGAAACCCTGATGCAGAAATTCTGCCTGTCCGAACTGTTATAAACATATAATACAGTCATTTAACATGACAGAATACTGAAACACGTAGGTTGATAAACTGACTTGGTATTTTGGAGATCTGTGAGACAGAAAATGAGTTTCAATGGTATCGCATTCTGTAAACCAGATGATGTAATGAATTTCAAGTTTGTACTATGTGGATATTTAAAAAACCAACGAAAGCTTCATGATCTAAACATCAAGCTCAGAAATATGAAAATCGCTCAAAATTGATAAGTTGTAAATCAACTAATATCATATTGTCTAGTTCGACTCTGAAATTGGATGAAGAAGTAAGAACGTCCAGAGTTGCAGACATGTTTGTCTAAAAAAATGCTTATCAATACATCATTTAAATCAAAAAAAAGCTTTTTCATGTTTAGGTAACTGATTTACTAAATATTTGTTTACGGACTCGGCTTTGAATCACATTGCATATGCTAGTGAAACGACCTAGCTTTCTGAAATGAAGAAGGTGAAGAAGGATTCCATATGTTTAGCTGTTGAAAGATCTCATAACAAGCGATGAATGGATGTGTGAATAGACCCTTGTATGTCAGTGCATTATTCATCGGACCAAAAACATTCCTTGCACACATCTATTTCGGTCAGCCTTGACACATATATGTACTATAGGTTTGTGTCAATTACTATTCGAATTATTGTGGGAATTCAACTTTCCAGGATATATCAGTATAGAGGTTGTGGAGATTGTTACGTTTTGATTGAGATCCTGAACCGATTGATGATGTTAGACCATCATTGAAAACCTGGAAGCACTGGACGGCCGTTTCGTCCTGTTGTGGGACTCCTCAGCAGTGCGCATCCACGATTCCTCTCGCGGGATTCGGACCCAGGGCCTTCAGTCTCCAGGATATATTTGATCTCTGGTTTCATATTGTAGACTGACCAAGTTTTTAGAAAGTGTATCTCAACTTATTAATAGTGATATAAGTGGTTTAACCAATTAAGCATCACCTCATTATAAGAAAGTACTACAATAATAGAATATCATTTGTCTTAATCATCGTTCATTCTTTGATTTACTTTTTCAGTAAATAATACAACTTCTCGAAATACTTCAGCTGATAAAAGTTCTGACAGTAGAACTATTAAATCAGCAACAAAATCACCTGGAAACAAAACAATTGGTATCACTGGTCAAAAATCTGGTTCTACACGTGGTACTTCAGCAAAAATTGATTTTAATCAAGCTCATTGGAAAATGAGAATAATATGTAATAATTCTGTAAGATTTATTCTTAGAAATAGTATGTTTCTTAAGTGGAACTATTTCGATGTTTATCTGTTGTTTATTTATAACAATTTTTCTAAAGATAGTCAATTTTATTTCATGTTAATAAATGTGTAGCGTGGTGTCGAGTCCCAACTGACAATGAACACCACTACAAAGAAACACGCGCCAAATGAATCAGAAGACGAACGTTGAACGTAACCAAATTTATTCGTTGGTGATCTCGTGGTATCGAATGAATACCGAGATCGTGCTAAGAAAAGGTACAAGCGTAATCGGCTGAAGAAAGTACGTGCGAACGGAGTCACGAACCCCGAAACAGTAATGGAGAATAATGGAAGAGCAATAAGGCTATCTTTAGCACAGTTAAACAAACGAGCACAGTAAAACAATCATTGGTACAATTGATTATAATAATAATTGTTTTCATTAAACCAGTCGCGTTCTCTTGATAAAAGTAGGTCACTACAGATGCATAGTTGTTAGTAGAACATTACAAATATCTAACTTTAACCAATTCACAAAATTACCCCATCGTCTACTATTATCGTCAGTGAGTTACTGAGGAGTTCTATATGAGGACGAAACAGCCATCCAGTAATTCCATGTTTTCCATGGTAGACTAGATATAATTGACTTATGAATTCAAGTATACATTTATAAATGTCAATCGTATTGCAGTTTGGGATGCTAATACTGTGTGTTGTATCTTACTAGTCAGTTGAAAAAGCATGTTCTCGTTTTAATATCAGAAATGGTTTTGTGGATATTATAATAATTTTAATAGTTGAGATCATAAGTGGATTGAATCTAGATCATCATAGAAAACATGGGAATACTGGACGGCCGTTTTGTCATAGCATAAAACTCTTCAACAGTGCACATTCACGATCCCGCCTCGCGAGATTCGAACCCAGGGCACATCAGTTTCACGCGCGAGCGCTTAGCCATTAGATCACTGAGCAGACCGGCATCCAACAGTGTTAATGTCTAACTTCAACTAATCCACGAAATTCAGCGACATATTCACCATTGTTTTCAGTGAATTACTATCTCAAACAGACGCGATTGAACTTCACTGGTCATTGCTTCTCACTGGAACTTCATGAAATATCTCTTGAAACCAGTCACTAGTGAGCGTATATTGATTATTATCAGAAGGGGTTTTTATAGATATTATAGTAATCTTAATATTTGAGATCATGAGTTCTCGTTTTATTGGTTGGTCATATTGAACTGGGCTGTTTCTTCCTTTTGTTATTTGTACCTAACGTTGATTGTTCATTGTTGCCTTCACCATAGCAATTGAAACGTTTTCAGATTACCTACAATGATCATGCAATAGATTTTTCATTCAGAGTAATGCTGCAGTTGATGGTGAAACTCTGGAGATGTGGAATCCTTCATATACCTGGGAAGCATCATCGATGAACAAAGAGGATTCGATGCAGACGTAAATGTGAGGATCGGCAAAGAAAGGGCCGCATTCCTGCTGTTGAAAAACATATAGAACTCAAAACAACTGTCTGTAAGCCAATATCAAAGTCACAATCTTCAATACGAACGTCAACACAGTTCTACTATACGAAGCTGAAACTTCGAGAACTACTACAACCATCAACAAAAACGTACAAGTATTTATAAATAGTTGTCTATGCAAGATACTAAACATCCATTGACCGGATGCCATCAGCAACAGTCTATTGTGTGAGAGAACAAACCAGCTTGCAGATGAAGAAGAAATTAGGAAAAGACGTTGGATGTGGATAGGAAATACATTGAGGAAATCACAAACTGCATCACGAGGCAAGCGCTAACTTGGAGTTCTGAAGGGAAGTGGAAAAGAGGAAGGTCAAAGAACACATTACGTTGGGAAATAGAAACAGATATGAATAACAACTGGAAAGAACTGGGAAGGATTGCCCAGGACAGGTTTAGATGGAGAGTGCTTGTCGGTGGCCTATGCTCCTCCACGTGGAGTAACAGGCGTAAGTAAGTAAGGAAGTGAGTAATCATTAAGCAATACTATTTATAATTAATTCTGGAGAATAGAAATTGAGTGAAAGGATAGAATGTTGTTGATTTGCCTGCATTTATGTTTATAGAATGTTTCTACTTTTTTATTATTTTATTAGAATGACATTAAAATCATTAATATGGATAATAAAATATTAGAAATTAAAGCTTTAAAAAGAGCTTGGGAAGAAATGGAACCTGGTAGAGCAATAAGAGCTGAATTATCAAGAGCACGTTATCTTGAAGAATATGGTCTAATGAATAAATTGGATAATAAAACTATTGTAGATGATTCAGGATCGACGATCACAATTAAATCTGATGGTTAGTTGTGTGAATCAATCAACTTTTTTTATTGTTAGTTGTGTGTATTGTCATCAAGAAACCTTGTTTAATCAAAGTTTCAACTCAACCATTACTCATAAACTAAGCATGTCTGTAGTCTTGATGGAACTGATTGACCTTGTAGGTTTCAAACTGTACAGAATTCGAACATGTCCATTTGAAATTCACAAACTTTATAAATGTGAGTATGAAAGAGTTCTGACTGATAATTGTCAATATTGTCGAATCTGAATTCCTAGAACATTCAGTCAGCTGTTACCCACAACCTAAAGACGAATGGGGAAGTCACTAGTATTATGAAATAAATTACTAATATATGTATTACGAATACTCAGACATATATTTCTGTGCACGTACTAGGCTGAAGTGATATCATATTGAGATAAGATGGTGGTTGGAAGTAGTCAACAGGAACCCCTTGACCTAGGTTTCGTGCTACTTGGCACTTGTCAGCAATAGGTACCTGTAATCTTGAGTAGACTGATGCTCACTAGCAGATTCGACCCCGTGACACCCAGCTTCATAGTTAGAGACGTAACCACTGAGCTATCTGGGCCTCGACCGACCTCCTGTATGACTGAAATGTATTTACAATTGATTGGTCACTGGGTAGTGATCAATGTCATTTATGTCAGGTGGATTTTAGTGCAGATCGAATCTTATCGATCAAGTTGTATAGTGCACGTTATGTCGAATCACCTAGACTGATGGCCACATTACAAATTGGTCGATAGGATTCAATCTTTACTAAGAAGGACCTGACATACATAACATTGATCATCACCCAATGATCAATTAATTGTAATATTTTGTCTTATTGAACATTAACTAGGAACATCGTAAGACATAGAGTTGATCACAGAAAATTATAAATAGTCATTTGAAAACTTGTAAGAACTTTGAAATAATAATTAACTGAACTGTTAAAATGAAAATGAACCTTCATGAAGCAAATGTATTCACCTCTTCTCTTTTACATCTTGAATCTTCATTTATTCAAACGCTTATTTCTCCCTACTCTTACCAGTGTTTTTATTAGGAAAGTATTTTGTTTGTAATAATATTCACATTGCACTGTAGTTACGACCATGGCATGAAAACTCAATCATTCAATTCCTTGTTAAATTCACATCTGTATCATTTGAAGAAGTAATAATTCAACAATTCCTATTATGACTTTATATCCGGCTAGTTATCATGTGATTTATCCACCAATCAAAATACGACTTATACAATCTTCGCACTGTGCCAAAACCAATGACGTTCGACCGGTATAGGCAGTCTAGCGTCCTTATTGGTCTTATATCCGCCTAGTCCATCCACTTGAGTCCAGAACACCAATATCAGCTTCCTCTATGCAAATCGAATCGAATCATTTGTTTCACACATACTGCGTTTATATATCAATCAAACAGACCGCAACGCACCATAAAATAGGAAATAACATTCATACACAGTAACGCCAAAATGTGACTATGAACGTGGGAGGTAGTAGTTAGTAAACTGAACATAGCTTAAGAACCGTAAATCGTACAATAAAAATATATAGGTTAAAATAAAGCTGTTAACAAGGGGAATATGGATATACACAGTCTAGTTACTGAATATTTATACCATAAGAATATATAAATAATATTAGTCCATTAATAGATCTCAGAAGTTACTGGTGACTTAATCTTCTCTCGGATATAACATAGGGGAGTGGCAACATCTTGATTCCAAACCAATGATTCATATGGGCTCCAATATCCTAAGGAAACAAATGGCATATGAATCAATTGTTGGTAACCAGCTAACATGAGACTGCATTTTCTAAAGTTACTCCACCGTCTTGTGGATTAGATCTTTAGGTTAAAGGCTCTGGTTATGCCTCCCTAAGAAACCCAACTGCTTCAGTTAGGGAACTCGAACATTCGATTTATATCCAATTACTGAATAGTTATATCATAAGAATGTAGATAGATTAGTCAGTTAATTTGTCTCAGACGTACTCGTGATTTATCTTCGCTCGGATATAACAAATCCTACTCACTTTTTTCTCAAAAAGGTTTCATTGTTTTCTTTCAACTTTAAAACATCACTAAATAATTAATCAATACATGGATAACTTATTCTATAACCTGAAGTTAACATGAAGCAAAATCGTAAATCATAGATATGAACAATTGACGAATCTCACAAACGGACGAAACATGCGTTAAATTAGATTTCACTTTGTGATCAATTCATTTTCTTTTGTTTTAATAAAATTCTCCATCTCTCTCTCTCTCTCTTTCTTTCTTTCTTTAGATAATCTAATACAAATTATAAAAGATCATTCTCCATTAGATCAAACTTTATTATTAGATCCATCTAAAATTTATATTTTAAAATTCCCACCAGAATTAAATCGTACACTTTATCCAATTCAATTAATGAATTTAAACAAATTCTATCATCATTTCAATGAGATTGAATGTAAACGTATTGAACAAGTTCAATCTATTATGAATGCTTATTCAATGAATTCATGGTTTATTCTAGAATATTCTTTAAAACAAATTCAATGTTTATCTTATAAAAATTTAAATGAAATTTTAAAATTTAAATATCAATTATTTAATGATTATTTAAAAAATTTAAAATTTAAATATTTAAATTTAAAAAAAAAACAAAATCAATATAAACAAAATTATATTGATTTATTGAAAACAATTCAAGTAAGTATGATTCATCATTGTGATTAATATAATATAACAACTAATTTATGAATGAGCCAATCAAAGGTGTTTAAAAGAGATTTCAAGGTTATGGTGCTAATTTCAGTGCTTAATACGTCATTGGTCCAATCGATAATTCACTGTTCTCTAATTGGTGATATCATTCCATTATTGTCATCAATGAGTTACTATTTCATAACAGATCCAGTTGAACTACATTGGTCATTGCTTGTCACTAGAACTCCAGGATAAACCTCTTGAAGTCAGTCACCAATAAGCATATGTTTATTAGTATCAGAAAAGGTTTTGTGGAGATTAACACTATTGAATGATGAACATCTGTGTGGTCTAGAGGTTAAGTGTTTGCGCGCGAGACTGAAGGCCCTAGGTTTGAATTCCGTGAGCGGGAGTGTGGATGCGCACTACTGAGCGCCACAATAGGATGAAACGGCCTTCCAGTGCTTCCAGGTTTTTAATGGTGGTCTAACATCAATTGGTTCATGAACTCAATCAATGAATTAATAATCTCCACTACCCTTATACGGATAGTTAAGCTCATAAAACATTATTTTAGACTTTGGATGAACAGGCTAATTAGACCTTGTAACTTATTCCCTTAACAACCTTGACTGATTGTATATGAGTGTATGTGTGGGCATTGCTTATCTTATTCATCACATGGCTGTAGCTTATTTTTGTGTAACTATAACTATTGATTAAGGCTTGGTTAAATGGAGTTGGATTACACACCTTCTCCACTGTGTGCCATTTCACTTCATTCTCTTCTATTTGTATCGTTCCTCTGAATGTCTGTCCAGATTAACGATTGTATGAAATATACATATTCGAAATCCTTTCTCGTATTGGACTTATTTTAATTCCCTTATTCACTAACGCGAGTTAAGTTGATAATTATCTACGAGGAAAGCCAGGATGTATATTTCGATAACATTTTTAGTGGCTCCAGATCTGACTCCATTTGGAACGCATGATTGATTGCTGTTGAAACATACATGTTGCCAATTGTCGTGTATAATTATCAACTTCATCTACGTTAGTGATTAACGGAATTATATAAGTCAAATACGTGAATGGATTTTGAATATATATATCTATTTTGTACACTCACTGATCTGGGCAGACATTCAGAGCGACGAAGCAAAATGATGAGGTGTGGAGAATGTACAAAAGTCAACTCTATTTAACCAAGCGTTAATCAATATTAATAGTCACACAAAAATAAGCTACAGGCATATGATGAGTCGGATAAGAAGTGTACACACACATATATATACACTCATATAGAAACAGTCAAGGTTGATAAGTAAATAATTAACAAGTTGAAAACGTGACTCAAGAAGAACCGTTAAATTGACCTGTCCAGAGGCTAAAATAAGCTATGTGGGCTTGACATAGGACCAGCCACTACACACTCATGCGATTCAACAGGAGTCAGAACCTGGACCACTAAAGTAAGTTGCTAAGTCATGAGAATTGACTAGATTTGGAAATGTGTATTATTGACAGTGGATTTCAATGGTCAAAAGATATCTTATCATGTGAACTAAATGTTATAAGCTCGATTGTGAGTTGAATGATACTGTCCGAGAATAGAATAGTTATTCAGTGCTGTATAATTTTTGACAGCTCACTGGGTAGTATTAACTTGTAACAAATAAATATCTTTTAAAGTTCGACTGTTTTGTGTGTGTGTGTGACAATCAGATAACTAAACGAACGATCAGATGTATACAAAGGTTAGGTACCTTTGGAAAGATACTAGTTGACAGTCTTAGTGTCAACATTAACACTCAATGCAAGTAAACCTAATCTAGGAGTCCTGCATAGAACAAAATTCACTTTCTAGGTCCCATTGCCAACTATTATATAACATTATTTCAATCTTGCAATTAAATAGAACTATATAAGAAGTTCTTTGAAGGTGTACATACTCTAAAAGAGATTGATCAGTTTGATCCTTAACATAAATATTAACGAGAGAACATAAATACTTACAAATATTATGCGTCAGATAGTTTATCTTTATTGTTTTAACGACGAACCAGCTGAAAAACCACAAAACATCTTATATAAATGGTAGATACAAGCAAATACTGAATCAGATATTCTAGTTGAGTTTGTAGTTCATTCTTAGTCTTTATGTTAACCTATTAAAACATTTGCATTATCATGGTAGCCGGTGATCAACAATAGGTTCATATGCCATTTGTTTCCTTAGGATCCTGGAGCCCATGTACAAAATTGTTTCGGAATCAGGGTTTTCCAACTGCCCTAGGTGGACTCTCCTTGTCCATCAAGCCAGTTAAGGCGTCGGACATTCGCTTTTCATCATCTCAATTTCGTAAACAACAGTGAGTAGGACTTCTCTGACAGTGGCTGTGTACGCGTGACTATGTGAGTGCATTTCGAGAGAGAGAGATGACTATACTCACCCTTGGCCATACCAGGGCATTCAGGGGCAATATTACAGTTAAGCACAAAAATTACCTGACAATTTTAAAAAGACTACGATCATTTATACATACAGATTAGCCTTAATATACTACTGAATTCAATGGTGAGACTATAATTTATGGACAACCTTTAAGAGACGCTAAAATGACCTTGAGAATATTCACTATTTACTAAAGTTAAATGAGAGTTATAAATTAGATTGAGGAATGAGGATTAGCACTTACAGTCGAATGTTTGACTTAGGAACTAGATTTAGTATTTTCATCATGAATTGACATCAGCTATAATATCAAAATGGTATTTGTTATGTCTTTATGCTGGGCTAGTTATCACGTAACCTATTTCCCAACCAAAATATGACTTATTCGCCCGTGTTCTGTACTAAACTAATGAAATTCAACCGGTCTGATCAGCCTAGCGTCCTATTGGTTGGTTGTTCGCCTAACCCGTTCAGCTGAGTCCAGAATGCCAACTACAGCCTCCACTACGTGAATCATTCATTTCAGACATACTGAGTTTATATATCAAACAAACATACTGCAACACACCATAAGATAGGAAATAACATACACAATAAGGTCAAAAATGTGGCTATGAACGTGGGAGGCAGTGGTTAATAAACTGAACATAGCTTAAGAACAATAAAGCATACACTAATAATCTATAGGTTGAAATGAAGCTTATAACAGGGGGAATATGGATATACACAGTCTAGTTACTGAATATCTATAGCATAAGAATATATAAATAATATTAGTCCATTAATAGATCTCAGACGCTACTCGTAATGTAATGTTCACTTGGATATAACAGTATTTAACCAAATCAATGAATGAATTTCATGTCAAAATCCAAGATTTCCTATTCTTAACTCCAAATGGGTCATCTATAAATTATAGTCTCATCAGTTTTTGTTTTATTAAATATTCTAGATGACGTTTTCTTCAGTAAACTAAATCATTTGGTTAGGGAGATTTCGTCGCTTTTCTGAACGTTATCATCAGTAATGAAATGTTCACATTTCCCCACATATAACTCATAGCTTATTCGTTTAGATCTTGATGTTGATTAGTTTCTAGTTGATTTTCAATTTATCATTATTTACTTTTTTTAATATTTTGATTATATCTCTCATTGACGAGACTCTATGGACGACCTTTGAACGAATCTTGGATGTCCTTCAGAAATATATGTATTCCAAAAAACCCAAAGAATTAAAGTGGTTCGAAGACTAAACATGGTTTGAAAAAGGTTCAGAGGTACTGAAGTAATAGTACATACGATAGAGGAACTCATCCATATGGCTCTATAATTGTCGACCTCTCGAGCCATGATAGGGTCGTAAGAACTATTTTGGCTTCGACCACATAACTTCAATATTGTCAGTGTGTACTCCAGTTGTAGGGTCCACAAATTAACGCTTATAAATAACGACATGATGCACACATCCAATTTTGTGCAGGTATCCGTAGGCATCAGGTACTGAAATTAGCGCCATCACCATCAAATCCTTTAAACGCTTCTAATTGACTCGTCTCATTCTCTCATTTGGTTTGGATATTTGTTGTCCAATAATATGTACTTAAGATTGTGTTATTTTCATTCTTATTTTTTTCTTTTCTTTTTTAATCAATAGTTCGCCACTGATGAAGCACATTATAAATACTACGAAATGTGTATGAATTATAGAAATAATATAATAAAACAATATAAAATTGATAAAGAAACATCATGCAATCAAACAATGATTGAACATGATAATACAGAACCAATTCTAAATCAATTGAAAATGTAAAAAAAAGCACAAGAATTAAATCATCAAGAAGTTCAAAATCTAGTTCAAAAGTCGATCGAATTCGAATCAACGAAGAAATTGAAAGAAAAAAATTAACTCTTTGTTTTACTCTCTTGTTTTTTCTACCTCTCCCCACCTCCCGTCGTCGTCGTCGTCGTTAATAAATTGTTATATCACTGATCGAAATCATGAGTCACTTGGAGCTAGATCACCATGGAAAACCTGGAAACACTGGACGGCCGTTACGTCCTTCTATGGAACACCTCAGTAGCAGTGCGCATCCACGATCCCTCACCCGTGAGGTTCGAACCCATGACCTGTCAGTCTCATGCCAGGCGCTTAACCAACTAGCTTCAATTGACTCATGATTTCAATCAGTGAAATTTCTAAAAATCTCCACAAAACCCCTTCTGATATATTGTTATATGTTTAGAAAATAATATGTATATAATTCGTTAGAGTCTATAACAGAGTAATACCTAATAGTTTGACTGGTCAGTATCGATAAGATATCTCTCCTCGCAAGATTTGAACCCAGGACATATCAGTCCCTGGATTGTGGATACGCAGTGTTAAGGAGTTCCATAATAGGACAAAATGGCTATCCAATGCTTTTATGTTTTCCATGGAGGTTTAGCTTCAATTTACTCATGAATTCAACCATTGATATTACTATAATATCCACAAAGATCCTTTCTTATATAAATATTTTTTATTTACATGATCTAATTCTATCACTTAGTGTGAATGTCATAGTTTTATTTAAGGAAATAGCGCAGAAAGAAAAAATTAGTTGGTACAAAGAAAGATATGAGGCGATTTCAATCTCACAGTTTAAGGGTAGACAGAGTGTGTATACACCCATACCATTGTGATCGGTCGATTCTGAGACATGTCACCCACAATCTCCAACCATTGGTTATGATAGTGACACGGACACCAACCAAGTAGTCTTTATCTACCAACATGGCTCACACCAGAATTTAGTGATTTCAAGGAGTGATGCCAAGTTTTCGTTTGGCCACCCCTAACTTCCTTCCAACCATTCCAAACACTAGTCAACATTGCACGTTGTGGTAATCGGTGTTCATGCATTCGTAACACGTGACCCAACAATCTCAGTTGATGAAGATTCATAACCTCATCAACTGATTCACCATCGTCCCCTAATACCCTGCGTCTAACCTCACTATTATTTACCCGATGATCGCAGCAGATAACAGCAATATTTCTAAGGCATCTGTGGTCGGATACTAGTAGCTTTCGAGTATCTAATATACTTAATGGTCATATTGTCGCTCTTCCTTTCTTGATCTTCCCCCATCTTCTGCTGCCAGACATTATGTTTTTAACTTGCGTCATATACTAATTATATCAATATAAGTAGCACGCATCACAGTACTTTCTTATAATGAGGTGATGCTTAATTGGCTAAACCATTTATATTACTATTATTAAATCGAAATACACTTTCAAAATACTTGATCAGTCTACAATATGAAACCAGAAACTAAATATATCCTGGAGACTGAAGGCCCTGGGTTCGAATGAAGAAGATATTTAACTTCATTGTTTAATTCAATGGAATACTTTGAGTAGAGGTTGATCACCATAAATAATTCTGTATAATTCACATTTTACACAGAGATAATTTAATCAAATTAGGGTGAATGCAATAAAGAGTCTTATTCTGTGAAAGGGTAGACAGAACCACTTTCTAAACAAGATTCATTGTAAACATACCAATACCTCTTCAACATCTACGGATATATATTAAGGAATATTCTGAAACAACAGTGAGGCAAATATAAACAATTTTCATTGTGTGAAGTTTCCCACTATCGATTAGATTTATTGAACTGGGCATGCTTGAATGGAAATGCTGGAATGGTTGACAATTCAAAATGTCGTATAATAATTCGAAATGTAGATCATCATGCAGATAACTTCGTTGAAATAGTTTGATTATGTAGCTTTCGATAAACGACACTTGAGCACCGAAATTTTAAGTGGATCATCGAAATTGAGAACGACGATGAAAGCTGCGTTTTTACTGGTGACGATTGAGTTTGTCACAAATCTATCTTTGATACATACACCAAGCAATAAACCGCTAGAATCGTAAAAGTGTAAATGGTGACTGGTGATTCAAAAATGATTTCTAATTATGTCACGTTATTGTTCATGATAGAAATTCAATTACGACAGCCTGAAGGCACACATTAAGAAATCAAACATGACCAAATTATAAGTGAATAAATTGGACTTCAAAGCTTTTTCAACAAAAAAATATGAAAGAAAACCAAAATGGATTGAAACATAATGCATATCATTTTGACGGATAAACGTATACTGATGAGGTAGTTAATTTTCATATCTAAAAAAAACGAAAGTGTGCCTGTTGTAAATGGTTAAGCAAAACAACTAGTAATGACAAACTACTACTACTACTACTACCACTACTAATACTACTACCACTACTACTACTACTACTACCACTACTACTACTACTAATACTACTACCACTACTAATACTACTACTAATACTACTACTACTACTACAAGTACTAATACTAATTCCACAATTACTACTACTACTACAAGTACTAATCCTAATACCAGTACTACTACTATTACTACCACTACTACTACTACCATAACAACTATTAATTCTACTAAGACTAATACTAATACTACTACCACTTCCACTACTATTACTACGAGTAATACTACTATTAACTGTACTACTACTACTACTACCACTACTACCACTACTACTACTAAAACTACTACTACGACTAATACTACTATTAACTGTACTAATACTACTACTACTACTACCACTACTACTACGACTAATACTACTACTACGACTAACACTACTATTACTACTACTACCAGTACTACTAATACTAACACTACTAACACTAGTACCACTACTACTACTACTACCACAAGTACTACTACTAATACCACTATAACTACTACTACTACCACCATTACTACTACCACAACTACTACTACTACTGCGACTAATACTACTATTAACAATACTACTACTTCTACTACCACTACTACCACTTCTGCTACTGCTACTATTACCACTACTAATACTACTGATACTACTACCACTACTACTACTACTACTACTACTACTACTATTACTACTTATACCACTACTACTACTACTACTACGACTACGACTAATAATACTACTACTATTAACACTAATACTACTACTACCTCTACCACTACTACTACCATTACTACCACTACTACTACTACAAGTACAACTACTAATACCACTATTACTACTACTACTACTACCACTACTACTACCGCTATTACTAGTACTACTACGACTACTACTACTACTATTACGATTAATATTACTACTACCAATACTACTACTACTACTCCTACTACTACTAATACTACTTCTACTACTTGATATACTACTACTAATACCACTATTACTACTACTCCTACAGGTACTACTACTAATACCACTACTACTAATACTACTAACACTACTACTACTAACACTACTACTACTACTACTAAGATTAATATTATTACTACCATTTCCACTACTACTACTACGACTAATACTACTATTACCAGTAATATTACTAGTACTACCACTATTACCAATATTACTACTACTACTACTGCTACGACTTATAATACTACTACTATTAACACTAATACTACTACTACCTCTACTAATACTACTACCATTACTACCACTACTACTACTACAAGAACTACTACTAATACCACTATTACTACTACTACTACTACCACCACTAATACCGCTAATACTAGTACTACTACGACTACTACTACTACTACTACTACTACTACTACTACTACTACTACCACTACTACGACTACTACTACGACTACGACTACTACTACCACTACCATTACTACTACCACTACTACCACTACTACTACTATTACGACTACTACTACCACTACTATCACTACTACTACTACTACTACTACTTCTACTACTAGAAGTACTACTACTAATACCACTATTACTACTACTACTACAAGTACTACTACTAATGCCACTACTACTAATACTACAACCACTATTAATACTAGCACTACCACTACTACTACTACTAAGACTAATATTACTACTGCCATTTCCACTACTACTACAACGACTAATATTACCAGTACTACTTCTTCTACTACCACTACTACTACTAATACTACTACTACCACTACTACTATTACTACTACTACTACTGCCTTCATATGTCAGTATTGAAAATATTCACGAATCGATCTGGAAGATTTCTTATAGGGTCTATAGCGGTGCTACCAAAAATGACGATTCGATCTACCACAAAGTAGCAAATATATATTTATAAAGTGGAGATGAACATGATGTCCGGGATCATCATCATCCTCGTCTACTTGAAATATAAAAGTAACAAACATTATGTTGATTATCATAAAGCTGTCCTTCCAGTTACTTGACTTTTGACAATCACATTACAATTCACTTCATAAGATGATGTTCAACATTACAAACTGTGATCAAATATTGAGATTATTGAGAGAAGATCTGTTGCTCAGAAGGCTGATGTTGTATCTACTGAACTGACTTATTGATTAATTGCACTATAAGGATGATCTCTCCCATGTTCTATGTGCCGAGTGCGTGACTTTTCTATTGGAGTCCAGGCAATTCAACTCCGCCACAGTCATCATTCATCATCACTCATTGTTCATCTGTGTTATTCGGTATAATCATTTCGTTTTGACTGCAGTTATTCACGTTGCTACTGCAAACAATGATATTTCCATACATTTTCCGGTTGAACCATTCCATCACTAAACATCTAAAGATATACTTATAATATAACATTCTCAGTCAAGTAATTTTAGAGTAAATTTGATAAAATTCACACCTGACATGGTCAGTAAACAAACGCTGAATCAAAAGCACGATTTATATGGGGACATAACAGGAGCTA